TGGGATACAAAGGGAAACAAATCTATTAACGTTACTTAGGCATGGCTGTAGCTCAGCATTGCCTCTGCTGTTAACCTGTCAGTCTCCTCTTCGTGTGGGGAGAATGGGCTTGATCAGACACACATCAAAGACGTGGTTCATGGGATGGTGCAGAAGCGCCTGTGGAGCTGGCTGGATTCCAGCCAGACTGCTCTCAGAAGTCTCCCTGACCTCCTTGTGCATCCTCGTTTGTGTGAAGGGTCTGAGGGACCCCTCCCCTCACTCTGCTGCCCTGGTGGCTTTGCAGCTCCCTGGGTTTCTCTGCCATCCTTGCCTAACAGTACCATTAGCTCGCTCCTCACAGGCATTTGTCCTCTCTGGGATCAGTCTGCCCTCTCAAATGTTTATTTACATTGCTTGGGATACAGCTCTGGAGCTGAGACATGCCTTCCTGACATTCTACAAGTGCTTAAAGCCTTTTCCTTGTGCTGATTGCAGGACAGTTTGTACAGTGATGCTGCTGAGCACTTTATCTTGTGGCTAATGTGGTGTAATCTGTTTGCAAGTTCTTTATTTTAACACACAGATATTAAGTATGTTTTTAGTATGCATGGGTTGTACAAGGGACAAAGCAGGCTTTTTTTGTCCCTGGGTCCTGAGCTGGGAAGCCCTGCATCCTGCTGGTTTTAAGCACCACAGGTACACAAACATCTCTGTATGATTCAAGAGGCACAGACTGCAAAATCTCATGTTGGAGAGAACATTTTAATGCTGGACAGGATTTATCTATCTCTGTGCATCCATTTGTCAAGGAGAGATGATGTGAGAGATTGGAAATTCATGGAGTACCTCAGGAAAGCTGGTTTCTAAACCCAGGTTTTGGGGTCTGAGTACACCAGGTCTCAGTGCCCAGAGTGCCCCAGGGATCCCCACGTCAGAGATCTACACGTGCTGCAGCTGTGACTTTCCTCCTGACATTCCTCCTGAAAGCAGGTGATTCCTGAAGCCTTGGATAGATGCTCAGACATTCTCTGGCAGCAGCAGCACCCACCAGCTCTTCTTTTGTATGAGACAAAGCACTTTGCAAGGTAAGGTTATGGGGCATTGAGAGGAGATGGGAGAAGCCAGCCTGAAAATTGGGATGTATGGGATGGTCTTGAAGAGACCTGCTGATCCCACAGGCAAGCAGGTACACTGCTGAGCAGCTTTTGGAGCTGTTTTCTTTTTAAAAATTTGACTTGAAGTTCCTGGCTAATTTCTAGGCCCCTTCTCTTATAAATTTTAATTAAAAAAGAATAAGTAGGAAAGCAGCTTGGGTCTCTGACATGGTCCCTTATTAAATTTACTCTCAAAGACTTGCCTTGATTCAATCAGAAATATTTAATGAGACTTTATGTGATGGGAGCTCATTCCCTTAAGGCTGGGTCAACATTTGAGGCTGGCACAGGCACTGAGGAGGTGGGGTCCCTGCAAAGCCAGCACTAATCCTGTCTGGCATCAGAGGAGCTTGGAGGATGTTGTCTGTGCCAGGTTGTCATTAGTGTCTGGGCTGCTGTTACTAATGGGGCTGTGAATTACTCTCACCCTGGAGGATTGCTGGGTGAGCTTTGGCTGGTCCTGGGCCATGTGCTGACTCCAGGAGAGAGCCTGTTTCTCCTTTTAAAAAATGGGATTTAAGTAAGAGCCATGATTTTCACCCCATTTAGTCTTATATTCCCTCAGCAAGCAAAACCATGCCTGTTTGTGGTGAGTAAATGTTGGGATGGCACCTGTAGTGTAAAGGCTGGAGCAGGGAACCTGGGGTTTGATCCCACTGTGCCATCCTCCCTGCATACCAAAAGCCAAGGCCAGCCTGCAAGGGGTCTGCAGATGCTCCCTGTAAAGCCTTCTTCAGCTTCAAAACCCCCCTGCAACCTCACTCTGCAGCAGAAGTAAATAAATCTGATTCATACCTGAGACATATTATATGAACATTCAGACCAACTTCTCCACTGATATGAGGTAATTATTTTTTTTCCTATAAAATCTTTTACTTCTGTCTTAGTGGAAAATCAACATGCCCACTAGCAACCTTGGTGTGCTAGTCAGGAACAGGAGCTTTTGTGGGGTTGTTCTGTGTATCCAAAGCAAGAAATGTAGAGGTACTTAAGCAAAAAACTCACTAAAGAAAATGGTTTGTAACAGGAAATTTCCCTCTAGAAGAATATGGAATTCTGCTTGGGACACTTCAGGCCCTGTGGTGGCCTGGCTGCAAGTGTGCACAGGTGAGGATGGCACTGGAATGACTAACAAAGCATAACTTTATCAGCTGGAGCTGATACAGGGGTATTCTAAAGCACCTGTAGGCAATGGGACAGGGATGCTGGGGAAGGACAAAAGCAGCTGCTGCTGCTATCCACTCAGTGCACAAAACCAGTCCCCCCAAATCGAGTTATCTGGGGATTCTTGGGCTCAGAGGCTGACAGGACACTAAGGAGCTCATTGGAAGGTTTGTGTCAAGGGGTGAGGTAGGAGAGGCCAGGGAGCAGGACCTTGGCCAGGAATTTGTGATGTAGCTACAGTGCCTCCTCAAGCTTTCTGTGGGAGTGGAGGCACCAAGAGATATTTCACAGATGTGTCTGTTTTGGTGTCCGCTCTGTAAAGGCTTCAACTGTTTAATAACTTTTTTCCTTCCTTTCCAGCTGAAGCCCATCCTGGTTTTCCCTCCCTGCAGCAGGCAGTAAGCCTGCACACAGTTGCTATCTAGTGGCCAGAGGAAGGTAGTGGAAGCTTTTTCACTGCTGGTTCTGAGTAAGAGGACTGCTAGAGAGGCAGGAATCTGTTACGTGTAGTTGTGTGAAGTGTTGGGGTTACTGCTATTTTTCCGTGGCATAGATCTCTGAAAATTGTTTTGCTTGATAGTGCAATCACTGCTATTTAAGCTATAGTTCACTGCAGTTGTAGACTGCATAGCTAAGGATTTCTAGTAATTAATGGTATTGGGGATTGGATGTACTTGAAATCTCTTGGAAAGTGGAGCAGGGACAAGCCCCATTATTGAGAAAAACACTGGTAACATAATATACTCAATATTTTATTATAAAACCCTCTAAAGAGCCACTTTATAGGTCACAGTTACAACAAAGGAAATGCCTTGAGTTAGGAAAACAATGGGGACACAGAGACATTGTTTAACATTTCTTGTTTGGGGAATGTGTGTTGTTCAGGACTTGCCTATGTTTACCATTCCCTCATGGAGACATCCCAGCAGGAGCACTGAAGCTGACTGGGCTGTGAAGGGGAAAGCAGAGCTGCTCTTGTCCATGGCTGTCTCAGTACCACTGTGAAATGTCTGGACAACTTCTGGAGGATGACAGCGGGGTGTATGGTGAGGGTGTGGCCCTACACGGATATTTAGGGTGTAGAGAGGGGCTCTTGCCAGCTCATCACGGGCCAAAACAAAAGCTTCATGGGGTCTGTGGCCTTCTGGTGCTCTGGAGAAGGAAGTCCCCAGACTCCTTAACCAGATGAGCTAGCAGTTTATTTGCATGATCTTTTCCTATGTGCAAAACCTTGCACAGGGACAACCTGTTAGCTGAGGCTCCTGAGGCCTGGCATTAGCAATTCCTCCATCTGCACCACAGTGGAAACTAGAGTCAAAAAAATGGGAGCACGGTCACCTTTCTTGCTTCCAGGATACCCTGACCAAGTGTTTTGTTGCACCCTGGCTCTGTGGTTGGGGCAAGCAAACCCAGAACCCTTGTCAGGACATTCTCACTCACCCCAGTGACACCACCAGCTCTGGATATCACAGCCCTGTGTCTCCCACTGGCTGTCTGGCCCTTGTGTGAAGAAAGAACAGCCCTTTAGAGGTGGTCTCAGGCCTGTCAAATATTTTCAAGGGTAAGGAAGGTACATTTTTCCTTTCTGCCTTTACCTTGGCTTTGGTGTAGCCATGAGACCTCAGGGACAACCCATCCTGGGAACTCATGCTGCTTTAACTTTGTAGGGTTGGAAAATGGCTCCAGCCCCATCCAGCCAGCCCAGTTACTGAGCCTGGGCTCTGCAGGGCCATCAGAGGAGATGAGGTGTCTCCAGGCCATCAGACATGTCAGCAGGTTCCAGGGAGGGGAGGAGTGCATAGATTTCTGCCAACCCACTGCCACCCTTCACATTTTAATGTCTCTAAGTTTAGCAGTTCCAAATATCCAACATCTTGAATCAGAAAGCTTGGCTAGGGTAGAGAGAGATGGGCTTTGTGGTCCATACTGCTAGGGCCCAAAGGCAATATTAATGATCAGGAAATAAGGGTGACAGCACCAGTATGGCCAGCAGCTCAGCAGAGCCCTGGCAGTGCAGCCTTTCCTACAGGGCAGGCTGCTCAGCCCTCCAGTGTGGAGGGACAGAGGGATGGCTGCAGCTGCAGCTCTGTGAGGATCAGACACCATCACAGCCAGGGCAGGAGCATGGGGACAGCATTACCTCCCCTCTCTTGGGAAAGGGCAAGCCCTGAAGGATACACTGGGATCCAGATTTCCCATGAAACAGCTAAGCAAGCCCTCAAATAGCACTTTTTTTCCTTTTTTTTTTTTTTCCTTTTTTATTTAACTTTTTTTTTTTTTTTTCAGAATTTCTTTGCCTAGAGCTCTTGGTGCTGCCAGTCTGTAGCACAGCTTACAGCACGAGAAGGTGAGCAGCTCAATATTCTAGCAAAGCTGCAGCTGGTAGGAGATGCTAGAATGCATCAGGACACTGATTAAAAATGCCCTGGACAGGCTGCTGTGTGCTTCTCATTCATGTTTGAAGTATTGCTCACATGTGGGGATAGCCCTTGACTGAAGGCTAGATGAAATGCAGCTGAGTGACGACTGGCAGCAAGACAGGTGAGACTTTAGTTGACTCCAATTTATCAGGACAGGTACAAACTTACCAGGCTGAGGAATAGTAGAGGTCCCTTCTGAATCCACTACAGTCACTAATATAGAAACCTTAATAACTCATTGATAAACCTTCAGAGTAGAAATACACAAAACACCCCTATGTACAGTAACATTCTTGTTTACATCAGCTGGGTTAGGACTTTGATGGAAGGATTGCCACTGGTTGTTATTGTTTTAGCTACAAGATTGGGATTTGTCTGGAAAGATCAAGTTCTTTTGGGATAACTCATATCAGCAGCTGTTGACTCCAGTGCTGCATCTGAGCCGTGGGCGTGAAGTGGAGGAGGCACTTGGTGTGTGGTGGTGTTGAACACCCAACCTCCACAGACAGATGGTTGAATCCCCTGGGCCATGCGTGGGCAGTTCGAGTCTTTAGTCCATTTCTGTACAATGTGCTTCTAACTAGCTCCCTTTTTCTCCCATTCCTGCCAAGGAATAAAGGCAAATTAGTCGAAATGGAAATCAGGCAGGCCACATCGTCTGGTCCCCAAGTGGTTTTGGCTGCAGGGTGGGTCAGGGAGATCTTTAAGTTATAAACAATGCATACATTTACTCATTTAAATTGCAGGCAAGGCAAACACAGGTGAAAAGACTGGAGGAGAACCAGGCTGATGTGCTCTGAATTGTGTTGGTCAGGGGTGTTTCCCAGACATGAGATCCCGCCCACAATCCCATCCCACCACAGCCAGTATGCTTCACTGCCAGAAGGGAAAAGCAGTGGCTGTCCCAGATGGATTTTCCTGCTGTACCTTACCTTAGCTTTCTGTAGGACTGTTCCCTTCCCCGTGACCATAACAGATAAAGGCCGGTTTTTTAAAGCCGTTGCTGAATTGACCGGGGAGTTCTCTGCGCTGTTTGCTGGACTGGCACTTTTTGCCTGAACCTACAATAAAAATCATAGAAATGGTTATGACTGTAGATTACTGAGAGAGTTAGTTGCCTTATCCCACCATCTCCTAGTACAGTGTCATCCCATTCCAACGGTGGTGCATTTTTTCAGTGATATGCCAATTTAAAAAAAACAAAACCACCAGGGGTGTTTGTGGTGTGTTTGGGTTTTGGGGACTCTAGAACTAGAGATACAGAGCAGGTGATGGAAATCTCCATTTCATGGGAAACAAATTCCCAAGAAGGAATTTAGATGTGTGAATCTCCTGTGAAAACCATCCCTGAGCTCAGCCAAGTTTAGAAGGAGCTGAGTCCAGACCTGTATGGCTCTAGAGGGTGTCACTCAAGGTCCCACAGGAAAATCCAACCACTCTCCTGAGCCCCATCCACCTTTCACTTCCCCATTACTGCTGTTACCTCATTAGATTATTATTACATTATGTATATTATATATAATAATACATACATATAAGCTATACATTTATACAAGATTGCATATTACACTAATGATGCTATTATTAATTATTACATTGTTAAGCAGGCTGAGACTGTGTGACTGCCCAGCTGCCAGAAAGCTGCTGTGCAACCCAGGGGTGCCCCACATACCCGTGGGGCTGCATTCTCCAGGTGGGTGGTGTCCACGGCCGTGCCCAGGGTCACTGGGCCAGACTCTGCCTTCTTCAGGTTCTCTTTCACCTCCACCAGGCTCAGCTCCAGGTCCACCCTCTGGCTTTCCTTCCTTTTGCATTCTTCGTCTATCTCCTTCAGCCTCTGCTCCAGGCTCTTGTCTGTGAAGAGAGAGGAATCTTGGGGCCTACTAGGAACCTGGGGAGCTCCTGAGGGGAGCAGGGATCAGGGCATGCCCTGCACATTTTCCTTGTGTTTTGCCCCAGGAGGGACTGTGGCTCTTGCTCTAGTGCAATCTGGGTGATGTGGTTTGTCTCAAAGCATCAGGTTCCCCCTCTCTTCTGGTCCCAGGAGGACCAGGTTCATTGCCCCCTCTTTCTCCATGGCCCCACCTTGGCTCATTTCCACACATCCCACCTTGCCCTGCCCTACCTGTGCTGCCACCAAGCATCTCCTTCAGCTCCCGCCTCTCCTTGCGCAGCTGGGTGAGCTGAGCTCGGATTTCATCCTTCTCCTTCTCCAGCCGTTCCTTCTCCTCTGTGAACCGTTTCACCTCCGCCTCTGTCCTGTTCTTGCCCAGCTTGGTTTCCACTGCTGCTGCTGCTGGAAACACAGCCCACCAACAACAGGGTCAGTCAGGGGAAAAAAAGCAGGAGGGAGAAAACCTTTTCAGGTGCTTGAAAAGAAAACAAGGGAAAGTCTTAAAAGTCACCAACCACTAGAGTCAGCTCACAGGCTGCTGTAGAGCAGAGCCAAGTCAAATGAAAGGGCTCCAGCTCTCTTTAAGCACCCTTGGGCCACCTGAGCAGCACACTCACCTGGCAGTGGCATCTTGGGCCGGTGTGCAGGCCCCAGCTGGGGACTGCCCGCTGGAACTGTGCCTGCTGGCACCTCGGGGCCCACCTGGGGGAAGGCAATGTTCTGCTGCTGGGTCTGGATTTTGACAGCTGGCACTCGTGGCTGAACCTCCTCAGGCTCTGGCTTCTCTGGGTGTTTCTGGAAAGGAGAAATGAAGTGGGATGATGAGGTGTAGGGAACTGGCTCAGTGATTAAGCCTGGCCTGGCATCACGGTTTGGACAGTACCTGCTCCGAGGTCTCTGCTGCCTTAGTACAGGGCTCAGCTTCCTTAGCCACAGGGGCTGTCTCAGCTGTGCTCTCTGGGGCAGCCTTGCTGGCAGCCCTTTCTAGAGAGGGTGAGCTGAGGGGTGAAGACTGGCATGACATCTTGCCAGCACAGTGTAGTAAGGTCTTCACTGGGGTGAGATCCAGATACACTCTGTCTTGGTCTGCCTCCAATTTGCTCTCACTCTTGGGTAGTTCTTCCTGCAAAAGAGACCATCTGCTGCAACTGGAAGTACAAGAAACATCTCACTGCAGAGCAGAACTATCTCAGGCAATCCTGGAGTATTTTCCAAAAATCGTAGACGAATTAAAATGCCAGTCTCTGAGTCATTCCACAGAGGGCTTTTGCAAGTACTGAAGGAAAGGCCCCTCCTGTTTTCCTTTAGGTCTCTCATGGTAGGAGCAGCCCCATGCAAGGACATCACTGTTGTACATCCAGCAACCCATGCCACATTCTTTGCCTTTCCTGAGTTAGCAGTCCCATTCCCAGCATGACCCACTGCTCTTGTCTCTTCACACAGGGCTTGCTCTTACAGGCATAAAAAGGAATTTTGAAAGGCTAGGCTCCAAAAAGCCCATTATCACCAAATAATCCATGCCGTTTGCTGATGAAAACTGTGGAATTTTATCCCAGCTGCCTGAGGATCCCTACAGCCTCTTTCTGGAAACCTCTCTTCCATTCCTCAGCAACTCCTCTTCACCACTTGCTCCATTGCAAAGGCCAGGATTTCCCCAGGGGCTGGGAGTCCCCTTCACCACTGCTGGGGAGCCCTCCCATTCACTGCTGGAGACTCCCCCATGGCCAGATGTTTGCCATGGTCCCCCCAGAGCTCTCTGCAGCAGGACATCTGTCTCACCACAGGCACATCCGGCAGATCCACATCGTCATACAGCTCGTCCTGCTGCAGCCTGCCCTTGGGCAGGTTGTCGATGTAGGCGTTGGGCTCTGAGTATTTCCTCTGCATTAGGCTGTGAACAGACAGCAGGACATCCCATCAGGGGGACTGGATTTGCTGCATGGCTCAGCAGTGCTGCATTTTTAGACATCTGAGAATACCAGTCCTGAGGTGTGGGCAAGGCCAGGCAGATTCAGGAGAGGAGAAGGCAGAGCCATACAAAGCAGTGTGGTCACTGCTGCTGCTGCCCATTCAGCAGCACCCACAAGAGTGGGGCTGTATTTCTCCTGGGCTCTTTCCTTTCCTGCCCAGCCCTCAGCCACAGCAGCACAGCTGCTCTGCCCCAGTGGCATGATGGACTGGATGGCCATCTGGAGATGCCCCTGCTTTTGCAACAGCCACTCATGCACGTGCCCCATGGAGAGCTGCAGCTCAGGCCAGATGCACCCTGGTGGGACAGAAAGTGCTCTCCTGTCCCAAAAGAAAGCTGCAGCTGTGAATTTACCACCTATTTCCATGGTAGCCAAAGCCCCCTGCTCTGGCTTGTGTTCCCTCTACCAGCCCCACGCAGCCCCAACCCATTACCAGTGACATACAAGAAGGAATTTTTCGCAGCGCTCACAATGCAGGAAACCCTGTCAGCATCCACGTAATCGTAGGTAAATTCTTCTGGGTCTGTTTTCGAGCCTGACTCCGACAAGAGGAGGCCCAGCCAGTGGCCCATTTCCTCTGAGGACTTTGCCTGCAGGGTGATCAGACACAGGACAGGTTGCAGCAGTGGTTCCTCTGCACTCACAGGGCTGATGCTGGCTTAGACTGGGTAGGGAAGCATGCTGGCCTGAACTTCCAAGGGGAAAGATGAACTGCTGGGTATTTATAATAAACCTAAGGCTGCCTTAAAAGTACAGCTCTATGGATGGACTGATTCAAAAATCTGGCAGCCACATAAATGCAGTTCTTTGCTCTGCTCCTTCCTAAAATTTCCAGTCATTCTGCATTTTCCTTTCAGTGGTGATCAGCTCAGCTGTCCACAAGAGTAAGAGATGTCTCTGGGGCCGGATATACTGGCAGGGAGCAGCTTTGGGTGAGGAAAGCGTGCGGCTTTTATTTTGCACCAGCAGAGTGCAGCAATGGGATTGCCAAAGCAGAGGCAAGGAGATCCGAGCCTGCGAGGTCCCATTGCCAGAGCACAAACCCTTTCCATGGCTCTTTGCAGAGGGGAGAGGAGAAGGGAAGAGCTTAAAGCATCAGAGTCCGTTGCTTTAACACAGTCAGTAGTCAATTCCCAGCTGCAGTGAGCAGTCTGACATTTTGCAACATGAAGAGTTAAATTCTAGGCCATGAAGTCAGCTCTAGCAAATAGCCACATGCACCTCCCAAGGCAGGGGACTACACCTGAAGCAAGAAGTTGGCTAATGCAGCCACTTTTTGCATTGATTTGAGGAGTCAGAGCAGTAACCACAAAGTAAAGTTCAAGGCAAGTGAATATATATATACTTCCCAGACTGGAAAGTATCTTTTAAGCTTTCAGTCTGTTTTATTTAGCAGAGACTTCAGTCCCTGGGAAGCCTGCCAGCCAGCCAGTCCATACATGGAGTCTGACATTGAGTCTGACATCCCAACAAAATACAGATTCTTCCATTCACAAAATGTAAATTTTCCCAGCACCTCTTCTTTACATCTGTAATTGGACAAAATTTCTTAGATACAGACATACCCTGAATCAGAAACTAAACAAAAACATCTTCCAATTTCAAGGCATGCCCTCAAAGTCAGTTGTTTAGCTATAAATATTCCACCCACTAAAAAAATACAGGAAATTGCTCACATTGTCCACCTCCTACTATAATCATGCTGTCGTCAGAGAGAAGTAAGATTAGAGAGAAACAGTCCTGGATGCAGGCATAAGAAAGTAACAGATGGAGATGAATTCACTTGCACTTTCAGGGGCAGATCTGTGACAGGCTTACTTGGGATGTGTGACCCATGGCTTTGGGGCTCTTCTGTCAAAAGGTGAAGTTCTCTGTTCCTCCTAACCACAGCCTTAAATCCCTAAAGTGGCATTCTTCTCATCAAACATTAACCATCTGCAGTGCACTCCACAGAACTTAATTATCTAAGGTTATCCTGCAGTCAGGGGAGAGAGATGGGAATCTCCAGAAGACCCCACATGATGTTTTTAAGCAGAGCTTCCTCAGAGATGCACACCCTACCTCCAAAACAACCCGTTCCTCGCCGTTGTGCAGGATGCGGAAGGAGTAAAGATGGTCAGGGCTCGGCTCTGGGATGATTTCACAGCCTGCCAAGCTCAGGGGCTGCTGAGCCAGTTTGCTTCGGTTCTTGTCCTGGTAGAAATGGAGGTGCCCATCTTTTATCTGACACCACCGGGACTTCCACTGGCTGTTCACCAGCACATTCAGGTAACCTGCAAGTAAGAACAGGTTACTTAGACACATTTTCCATTTAACCATATTATTTTCTGTGCCTGGGAATGTCTAATAGGTAAGCTATGAGATCACACAATGCAAAGCCACAGGCACCAATAAAGAGCAAAAGCACAAAGACAAGTTGTCCTATCCATACAAAACAGGGTGAAAAGGGTAAAAATCTTGAAAATGAGACCCTTGAGATTCAGGATAGGTTTGGAGCAGCAAGTTGGCTGTAGATGGCTGTCCAAAGTTGGTCCCAGGTGGTAAATACATTTAAGCTGATCCTCACAACTCTCCCTGCAGGCTCCCACACCCTGGGTAGCACAAATGCCCTGTGTGCGCATGTCTGGTATTACCCACCCTTCCTCTTGGGTCACTCTGAGAGCCACAGGCACCACAATCTGTATGGATTTACTGGCAGGACCACCTGGCATAGGCATGCTTGAGGATGATGCCTGGTGCTCATCCTGTCCTGCACACTGAGATCCAGCCCTGAGACAAGTCCCTGCAGAGGGACTCTTGCTGCCACTTACTTGAAGTCTCCAGGGATCTCTCTGGGCTATCCAGGGAGCTGGACTTCTTCCTCCCAAGGTTCATCAGGTTGCTCAGTTTCAGGCCAGTTGTGCCCTTCTTCTTAACTACCAGAAATGAAAAAGACACATGCATGGCTTTCCCAGCTCCCAGTCCCAGCTGGGGGTCCTGCCCTCACCTCACACACATCCCTTGCAGAGGGAAAACCTGTGACACAGGGACAAGCTGGAAAACTGCAAAGCCCAGGGAGTTCAGGAGCAAGGTGGCACCAGTAAGATCAGCTAGGGATTTGTGGAAGATGCTAATCTGTATTACTTTACACATGGGTTGGCTCTGACCAAAGGCCAGTCACTGCAGGAGCAGTGGGAGCTGCTTGCATAGCTCTTGCTGGGCAGGTACCAACCTCCCTTCACTTTCCTACACCACAAAATATTTAATTAAGAACCATTACTTATAAACATTTACTGTATGCAAGTCCTTTCCTCTCTAAAGAGGGACACAAGGTGGGAGGGGGGAAAGTTTATGTCCAAAGAGGCTCTTCAAAATTCTCCTACTGTGCACATCAGTCAGTGTGTGAATAAGCTTATGGAACCAACAGGTAATCCTGGTAAGAATATCAAATTCCCAGGCAATGAATGCACACACAGCTTTCATAGGTCTGTTTCAGGTGGCAGTGACAGGAGCTACAGCAGCCCTGGCCCCAGGCAGGGTCAAGGGCCCGTTTTCCCTGTCATTCCCAGGGCAAAGTTTTACCATCTTTTGTCTCAGCTGTCTCCATGTGGCCGTCAGTGCTGCTCCCGCTCTCAGAGGCTGCAGAGTATCTCTCGGACACCTCCACCTGTAACAAGCACAGGCACAAGCTCCACAGATGCAGGTGACCCATTCTTCCAGCCAGAATGTGCTGCAGTCCTTCTCCCATATTAAGAGGTTCCGCTCTCTCTTGTAGAAGATGCTTTCACCCAGGCATCCCCAGCCAGCTCACACACACTGTGCCATTCCCATTGTTCCTGAACATGCCCCAGCTGGGCTCACCTCTGAGGAGACACAGAGGCACCACCAGTGCCACCCTATGGCCTCCTACCCTGCAGCCTGGCTGGTGGGGGCATTTGGCAGTCCCTGTAGCAGTCCATGGGCAGAGGAACCAGCCAGGTGCCCAAACAGGTCCACTTTGGGTGTCCACCAGAGACTTAGGAAAGTCTCTTTGTCTTCCCACTGTTTTGGAATGAGCTGCTCCCAGGGGACTGTCACCTAAACCTGGACTAAGAGATGACCCAAGCCCTGGCATCCTAGGGTCTATGTTTCTCCCAAAGCTCTTGGTGAACACAACCATCTCACTGGATGAGATAGAAGATGCTGCCCTGGATAGCTGGTAGCCAAATGCTGGGTTAGTCTGGGAGGGGGGATATGGCAACAAAACTAAGATGCAAAGGAAAATTAAGATGGTTCCAAGAATGCTCCTTTTCAGCAGCACAGAGGTCTGGTTACACTTCTATCAGTCTTTGCTTACCTAAAATTAAGGCACCTACACTACTATCTATTGAAGGAAAGGGCTGGAAAGCCTAACTGCCAGTTCTGTCTATAGAGACAAGATGTACCTTTGGGTAACCGAGACGCTGCGAGTCTGGGATGTACTGGTTGCCTTCACTGCCTCCTTCACAGAGCAGCCCACTGGTCTCTTGGATTACCTGTGCAGAAGGGAAAGCCAAAGCCTGTGAGAGCTGCAGTAACAGGATCAATTCATCTCCCCTAGCTAGGACAAGAAAAACCACATCAGGCTGGGAGACCCATGGTTTACTGTCCCTGTGACCCTGGGGACCGTCCTGGTGTTGCATCAGGCATCCAGCAGAAAGTGTTGGATCCAAGTCATTGGGAGAGGCTGCCAGCAAAGGCAGCCGTGGTGTCTGACAGCCCCGTGGCTGTCCTGGGCTCCAGGAGGCTCCTTCTCCTGCTACTGTCTCGGGGGAAGGGCTGCATTTACTCCTGCCCTCAGCAAATTCATGCTGGGGACCCACCCCAGACATTTCCCAGCCCTGCCACAGCAGCTGGGCTGGGAGGTCCCCACGTGGCCTCCAGCACACTGAAGGCTGCAGGGAGCTGCAGGAAAAATCTATCCCAGGACATGAAAATGAAGTGGTATATTTGTATAAAGGCTTTCAGTGAAGAAGGGAGCCAGAGCAGGGACAGGGCTGAGATAAGAACTGATCTCCCAGCAAAGCATGGGAGCACCAGTGGGACAAGTCCTGAAGGTGTCACTGACCCTGAGCCACTGCTCTGCCTGGTCTTTGCTCTGCAGCCCCAGCACGATGACATCAGCGTTCGTGGGGATGATCTTCAGCTTGTGCTCTTTCTTCCTCACTTGCTTTTCCTTGTGAATGACAGTGCAGCCCAGCAAATTCACGTCAAGCTGGGGGTTGTGGTCTTTGGAGCTCTTGTAGCACTGGGGAAAGACGACAGGGACAGGTGAGAGGCAGAGGAGGAACCTTCCTGCTCTAAACTCAACCCCGTAAGGGACTCATGCAGCCACACACACTAAGTGCACTGAGCACAAAAAGGTCCTACAGTTCTAAGAAGTCTGCACAGACTACACACAGGAGATCCCTGTATGTACAGGTACACATACATCTGATTGCATGCATACATTGTCTGAAATACTTTTTACTGACACTGGACCATGTATGTGGTTAGCCTCTGGGATAGGTATCCCTTCTGCTTAACCACCTCTAAAAAGTTTCCACAAAAAGTATCCCTAGACATTTTGGGGGATTGGTATTTTGGTCACCAATGTGTCCTTGTGCCCCCTTCAGCAATCTCATGCCCACGTTCCTTCTGAGAATTGAACAAGATCCCCAAATCTCCAGGACGTGGTTTTTGAAGCATTGCTTCTAGGGGTATTGCTTCTTTGGTTTTTGCCAGCTCATTAACAAGGTCTGAGGTGCCACTTCCTTCCCTAGCTCATAAAACCAGATTATTTTAGACAGAAAGTAGAGGATCTGCTCACCAGCAGCCTGGTGTCCTTGATAACACACAGCTGTTTTGCCCACTGTCCCAGCCACTTCTTTCTCCACAGGAAGGCACAGATGCGGGCATCCTTCATCAGCTCAATGGTGGCCTCTGGGGATGGCCACTGATGGGTTGCTGACTTGCCTTTGCTGCTCTCTTCTTCATCATAAGATTCGTAGGAACTACTAACGGCTTCACCATCTTCTGTAACAAAATCAAAGCTCTATCATTAAATCCATTTTTAGAATAACTCAGAGTCAAATGCTTCCCTCAGCCATGCTCACACATGCACAAGCTTCCAGTGCAGGGATGTGTCTTTTGAGGCACTCCTACAGGAGGATGATTAATATGAAAATTACCCTCATAGATCCTTTTTTCTTTCTAGCCCATTATGAATCTCATTGCAGTATTTTGTGCCTAATGGGCTCTGTTAGCACACACTCAAAAGACACTTCTCAGCTGACCACAAATTTGAGAACATTCCCTTAGACATTTCCTGATGTTTGCTGCTTTTCCCCCAAAGACGCTTTTACTACTTTCAACTTCAAGCCAAACACGCACAATGTTTAAGACAACAGCAAACTACAATCAGCCCTTGTCCTCTAAATGCCAGAAGTAAAAATGGTATTTGCAAGGCCATGCAGCAAGCAATGATCTATTTTACTGGAGATGTCATTCACTTCCCCTCTCTGGTCCAACAGGTCCCTCTCTCTCTACTCAGTATCAAATGCTTTGAAGTAATACTGTTGCAGCACCAAAAAATAGTCATCAGTGGCAAATGTGAGAAGAAGTAGCAACATTTTTTTATGTCCATTCTTAAATGGATTGCTGTGTTACTAGGATGAGTTGGAATTTTCAATACTCAGCTCTAAGGCACTGCAGATTATTGGAGTTTTCAGATGATCAGTGGTAACAGGCTCATCAAAAACACTGAAAATTTTCTCCCTGATTGCAGGGGATTTCCAAAATTCTGCTGGCATTTAGAGCTCTAAGTCACAAGATAAACTCACAGAGCAAGATGGTAAGATTGGGGCAACATTTTGTAGGGTTTGGCACTCTTATCCTACCAAACAGCGTGGAGGAATATTGTTAAATTTCTCTCACTGGAATTTAATCTCACTTGGATTCTCACCAAAATCTTACTACCTACATAAAAATAACATTGGTGCAAATTAAAAGAATAAAAGCAGTCAGAAAAGAGAATGAAAAAGGCATTAAGAGCTTCGCCAAAGAACGTTTCAGTTGGGTTTATTCTTTAAATAAGAGGAACTGAGACGCAGTAACAAAGCTACACTCTTACCCCCAGTGAAATTTCACTCTACAACCTCCCTCAAGTGATCAAAACTGCAACAATTAAACAAATTTTTTTAAAAGCAAATACTCCCCTTTGAAGTCTCTGAATGGAGCACACTACTGCCTCACCATCTCCATGCCCTCAATGTATCAAACTGTCCATCTTTTATGGGAAAACTTTATCCCCCCCACAGTGCATTCTCATTATGCAGACCTTGTCCACAGGCCCCCAGCACAGAAATTCAGATGGAGTAAAAATGTAGGCGTTTCTCAACCCTACAAACACCAAGCTGAACCTCTGTGCAGCTACAGGACCTCTCCGTATGTAGCAGCAAGGATGCCTAAGGGAACATCGTCTCCCAAAACTCCCTCCTTATCCACATGGGGGTATCACTAACCACTCCTCTGGCCTCTTTTGGAAGTCTCTGGTGCCCCCACCTAAGCAGTAGGTCTCAGGCTGCCACCTTACTCCTGAGAAGTCCTGGATTCTCTTCTGTGCATTGACCACAACCACAACTGTGGTTCCGCATGAGATGAGCCCCTCCCTACTTGAAGAGCTACAGCAACTTCTGTCCTGGTGACACTGCTACAGCCGCATGAAGGAAAGGCATTTACCAGACAAAAGGGACAAGCCTTTCCTGGTGGCTTGTGACAACCCTGTGATCACTACTAAGGCTCACTCTGTCCCAAATTGTATGGCTCAGGCATCAATGGCAGCCACAGTCTTGGACGTCTTTATGTAAATCCACCTCTGCTTTCCTGTGGGTCTTCCCATGAGCTCTCAGGTAGCTAAATCAAAGCCATGATGCAGAAAGCTCAGCCATCTTATACTGCCACTCTGCCTTCGCCTCAGTGGAGCACCTTCAATAACAGCTACTTGTCAATACAGCCAGCATTACCACACATCAGCTCCACACCAGTGACAGAAGGGGAATAAAAGCTGGGGAAGTTCTCTTCATTGCCGTCCTGAGCACAGGGAAAGACACAAAAAATAATGCTTTGTGCAAAACAGACAGGGAGAGGTGGTTACCCTCCATGCATGTAACAGGCAAATCCAGGGATAATCTTTGCTAAAACTGAGTTTTTGGGGGATATTTTGGGGTGCTTTTTTGTCATTGTTGTTTAAAAAAGGCACTTCAGGTTTGGAAAGCATGCCATACCCATAGTTATTGTGGCATAAATAACGCCCTCAGTAACCTGCAACCCTGGCCTGGGTCCAGCCGCAGCAAGCCTACCAAAAAGACCTGCACAGTCAAAAAGAAAGAGAAAGGGAGACAAAGAGAGAAAGCCACAGATAAGCAAATGCAGAGAACAACAATGGTGTTAATCCCCTCAGCCAGTGAGGCTGTCCCATCCCTGCACACCTGTGTAGGCTGAGACTTCAAACAGGGACAGCATTTTCAACCCATCCCCTCAAACAAGGAAATTCCCTTTAAAACAGAATCATTGTCATTGCAATTAAAAGCAGCCAGGGCCGATGAGCTGTTTCAGCCAGAATAATTATTGCTCAGTTGGCAGCCACATCGCCCCTCTCAGTTTTCACTCTGCTCCTTATCGCACCCTCCAATTATGCAAAGGCTGCTGATAAGGGTTTAACACATTTCAGCCCAAGAGGGAAGGGAAGAGCAGCCTCTGCTGGAGCTGGAAAATGTAAGGCAGAGCATCCCCAGTGGAGGGGTGGGAATGCTGCTGCTGAAAGATGGACCTCGAGACCCAGCAGACTCACCCGCTTGCTTCGTTTTGATTAATTCACTCATGGTTTGCTACAGTGCCTCGCAGTCCCACCTCTGATGGTGCACGAAACCTCTATCTCCTCAGCCCATCTGGAGGCTTGCTTTGATGTCCTTTCTTGGCAGTGCACCCACTTGTTTCAGTGTTGTTCCTATTTTTGTCTGATCTCACTACGCCCATTTGTTTGGGGACACATGGGTGTCTTCCAAGGCTCAAGCTGCAACACTGTCAGAAACAGTATCGCAGAGGGGCTTTTCACAAGAGCTTACAGTGACAGGACAAGGGGAAATGGATTCAAAGTGAGAGAGTGTAGGTTTAGCTTAGATTTTAGGAAAAATGTTGTTACTGTAAACATGATGAGGAACTGGCACAGGTTGTTCAGAGAGGCTGTGGATGCTCCAGCCCTGGAAGTGTTCAAGGCAAGGCTGGCTGGAGCTCTGAGCAACCTGGTCTAGTGAAAGGTTTTCTTGTACATGGCAGGGGTGTTGGAACGAGATGATTTTTAAAGTCCCTTCCAAGCCAGGCCATTCTGTGATTCTATGAAAGACCACCAGCAGCTTCCTGGACTGCCACCCCTCCCTATGCAGCTTGTAGGGAAAGGCACAGAGGGCTTGGGGGGTTACTGGGGCCAGAACAAAGCCATGCACGTCCAGACTGCCCTTTAGCAACAGCAGTCACACCAAGGTCCCAGGTGATTTGCTAGCAGCGAGCATCACTGTGTAGCACAGGTACAAAGTACCACTGACATATGATAGGGCACAGGGTGGGGCAGAGGGAAGAGATGGGGAGCCTGTGCTTGTTGAAACACAGGACAGAGACCTGAAGGTTTGCCCACATGCTGCAGTATGATTTCTTGAGGCAAACCAGGGCACCAGCATCACTGCTCAGCTCCCCTGTGCACAGCACACCACACTTCACCTTCTCCTGAGCCCCCACAGCTTCTCCTGCCACATACCTGCTGCTCCACATCTCTCCCTGCTCCTTCTGGCTCACCCTGCAAGGAACCACCTCCAACATGAGGCTGCCAAACAGGACAGATATTCTCACGATGATTCCTTCCTCCTCACACAAAACGTACTTTGTAGCACATCAGGAGGTTTGTGGAGGAGGGATGTGGTGGGGAGGGGACCAGTGGCTGAGCAATCTCAGGATCCAAAGGCACCACACACCTCAGTGGTGAGGAATCACTGGAATCCTCTGTCCCATCTCTGCTGGTTTCACAGGCTCCTATCTCCACTTACAGCTCTGATAGTGCTCAGTAAAACATGGAGCCTGCTGGTGCAACAGCTGATCACAGCAGCCTCGTTTGGACAGTGCTCTCATCATTTGTGCTTTTCTCTTTTTGCAGAGCTCTGATCTCTCATTTCCTTAAGCATCTAGATTTCAGTGGGTGGTGGGTGTATTTGTGTCTTGGACCAGCAGGTTACCAAGGAAAAGAGGTGGGAGCTGGGTATGCACTTCTCATTCTTGCCAGCCAAGTCTCTGAACTGAGGGCAAGTTTATGGAGCTGCACGGATAACACAAGCTGGGTATCCCAGCACATGGATCCATGGCTTCATTCCAGCTAATCTGGCATGTGCCTTTTTATGCCATGGCTCTGAACAATTTATCCACTTTCCCAGTGTGCAGTGTAGCATGCAGGGGGGAAAAGAAATCTCCTTTATCTTACATTGCAGGCACAGGGATGAGGCTGCAACACCCTGGACTGCCCCAGCTGCAGCAGGGCTTCACAGCTCTCACCTCAGCCAAATGACCCAGAGCCTTTCAGCAAAACACAGGGCAGAGCCAGAGGGGCCTCTCTTCTGCACTGAAACTGCACCTTTCACCCGGGCCACAATGAGCCTGAACCTTTCCCATCTGAGCTGGGCACTATCTTCTGTTCACTGACATGGAGATTCAAAGCCCAGTAGTTTTACACTGGGGCTGGGGAGGACCCAGCTTCTCCCAGATGAAGCCCAGATTCAACAGCCAAGGATTTAGATCCCAATCTTTCACCCTTAACTCTCACTTCTTTGCTTGCCTCAACTCTTGCCACTCAGCTCTGCCCATGCCACACACTCTGCTGCAGCCAAGGCAGATGAGCAGAGATGTGCCTCTGCAGTGGGGTGATATAATCTATCTCATACAAATGGATTATAAAGTGATGACAAGATCAGCTCAGCTATCAGATCAGAGGAAGGCAATCTCTCAGTGAAGGGTGTTCAACAAAAGGATGTAGGAATACCTGGTAAAAAGTGAGAATGTGGGAGCTCAGCATGCAGCAGCCTCCTCCCAGAGGGGACAGGCACGGGTGGCACTGCTCCAGGACACGGCTGGGTGCTGTCCCAGGTCGTGAGTGAGTGTGTGCAAGGGAACCCACATGCTTTCCCCACACACGAAGCCTGGCTTTCTAATCAAGCTTACAGATGGTTAAACTGCCACAAGAGACAGAGCTGAATAAAGAGCCAATTATAAAAACAGTTATCACTCCTAACAGACCAGCAGAGCCATGGATTTTGAGCCCCAAGGGGACAATCACAGCGCTAGGACATGAACGCAAGCCACCACAGCTTCACCACTCAGTCCTGAATAGAAACTTGTGTTTGACTGCAGTCTATCTGCCAGAAAATCACCAAGACAAAGAGGACCCACAATGGTTTCTAACATTTTACACTGATCCTATATTGACCCAAGCATATTACTAACTTCTACAGGAAAAATTAAAAATTGGAGTAATTCAGTAGTCTTTGCTTTCCAGCTAGCATTAGGTCTGTAATACCAAGTGTGATGAACAGCAGAAAACAAATGTGTCCCAAAAGCTGTATGAAGTATCAGTGCTTTCATTTACTGATTCTCATAAACCTCAAGTCCTCCATCTCCCACATGAGCCCCCTCCCAAGGTTTAGCTGGGATATACCATTTACAGAGATGTCATAGGGCTCAGCCTCTTCATAATATCCCTCTGGAGATTCAATCTTGGGGACTGCAGGTTGTTTTGTTTCGAGAATCTGCAGAATAAACACATAGAAGAAACATGATTTAAGGTAGATAGATCCTTCAAAACAAGAGAGCATCCTTTTCCATTTTTTTGTAGCACTCAAGTGTACCCCAATGGATGAAATCTTTTAGATATGGTACAGTTAGCTCAAATATAAATTGAAATTACTGTATAATTGCATCATAAATGTTACTTTCATGTTGCTGAAAGCCATGGGAAGATCAACTCATAGCAGCAATTGCAACCAATCAGCCTTACCATGAACTGAGATTTCTGCCTGCTGCACTGACACTCCTAAGCTGCCCATGGTAACTGAGGATGGTGCTCTGTGCTATGGATTATCTTATCAGGGAACCAGAAGGGAGGACAATTGGTGCAATGCTGGTTTTACACTGAAAACATAACCTGAGCCAGTCTCTGGTTGTGTCTCCAAGTCTCTGACTGATAGCAACTAACAGCTAAAAATCTCTGCTTTAGAAACTATATTGGGAATCTTTAATTGTGCTCTTAACAAAACATGAAGGAAATGGATAAACAACACCAATGGAAAATAAGCCTTAGAAAAGAATCCAAGTGCTGGAAAATCCCTGTGGTGCCTGCCAAACCCCTCCCAAAACACAAGGAAGGGCTGGCAGGAAAAACATGCCTTTATCCTTTAGAAATATCAATACATGAGGGGAAAAAAAAAAGTGAAGTTAAGAAACAAACTTTTTACTTTTCAGGTGATTCACGCAGATGTTGCACATGACACAGCAAAGCAGCAGCACAAACAGATCAGTAGGATGAGCAAAGAGCTTATGGTCTTCCCAAATACCTGGCATCCCATCTCCCACCCTGACCTGACAGTAGCATTCCCCTGCTCTCCAGTGAGGTGTCCCTGCTCCTCAGCAAGGTCACACCACCCTCAGCCATCTGACAACAGGATGCTCTGTCTTGCAATGCTTCACCTGACCCAACTGAGGCTGTGCCAACCCTGACAGGATGTCCAGGGTTAAAGCCCCACTCCCCCAAGGAGGAGGGGCACAAAAGCAGGTCTCTCTGCAGAGCCAGCAATGTTGAAGGTCACAAATAGTGCACTGTGCCAACCCACGACTGCTCCCTGGGGAAGAGGGGACAGCTGTGCATCAGCATCACAGAGCAGCCCAAGGCAAGATCAGGCCATTTGCAGGTCATGCCAACGTCATCCAATGCAGGTGCAAAGCTGCCCATCCTGCCCCAGATGTTCCCACCAGCAGCTACTGGTGCCCAGAAGCAGAAAGGAAGCTTTGAAGGAAAAGATTCTGTGGCCAACAGCCGCCCACAAAGGGAAGCTGTTGGGCCTGTGGGAGTGAGGAACCCTGACCACACCAAAGTCACGCGTCTGTTCCCACTTGGGCGAGCTGCCCGTGGCTCTGCCAGCCTCCCAAACTTCTCCAGTGTTAAAACTCCTTCTTGCCAGATGCTGTGAGCAGGCTGAACTTTCCTTGCAGAGACACGTAAAACACTGCTGGAAAACACTTGCCCTCCAAACTCTTAAAAGGTTTAGGAACTTCTTGCCCTAATGTGTTACATTAAAGAAAGAAAAACAAACCCAGTCACTCCAGGGCTTTACTGAATCCCTCCCCTGGTTAGGAAATGTGTCTGTAATTGCCATCTGTGGTGGCCTCCTGCGTGTAGCCAGCTCACTTTGTGCTGTGACCATAAACAAACTGCCTACACAAAGAAACGCTGTGGTTTTTTTTTTCACACCACCCCACAACTGTCAGGGAAGGGACTGCTCTGCTTTGTTTCCTACAGACAATGAAAGCCAACAGGGTGCACCTTGGCAGCCTCAGAAGGTATTTGTTTTGTCTTTTTCCTTAGGGGTGTGGAGTGGTTTACTCTCTAACATTAGTCAAAGGCAATATATTGTGTTATTTAACAACGCTGGCCCTTGCAGAACATTTGCCTGTTGCATTATGGCACAATGAGCATGCAAATATAACCACCTTGGGTGCATCTGTACCACAGGACCTTCCCTGTGGATGGCTGTGGGAAGAGGAACAGCTGCCAGGGCTGCAGCAGAGAAGAGGTCCTTCCTTGAGCCTGGAGTGCCATGCAGTGGGGGTGGCTCTCCCTGGCAGGGAGCACAGCCCAATTTGCACACTCACAGGGAGCTCCCACAGCTGCCTACTCCACCTGTGCACAAGTTTTGGGAACCACAGGGATTCCTGGGCATCCAGCCACCCCAGGCCACCATCCAGCTGCACCAACCACATACTAACCCACGGTCTTTGGAAACATGGAACATACAGCTGGAAATCTCTAGTTCAATGTTTTGTTATTATTTTTAAAATAAAGCTCACCAGGACTCTTTGCTCTTTGCCTCACTAACATACACAGGCAGAGGTCTTTCCACCCAGCCATGATGCAAAGGACATGACAAAAGTGAAGCCTCAAGGGATTCAGAGCCCCAAGCTCAGGCAGTGAAAAGCAAGGGGTGTGAAAAACTTACCTTTGGAGGGGGGAGGTCTGGCAGGCTCTTCTGAGGAGGTGACAAATGCAGTCCTGAGTCTCCATTGGTCAGGGAGCTCTTCTGATCCAGCACTGCAAGGCAGAAACAATTCTATAAATGACATGTGGCATCTCCCAGCAGAGCACTTGCTACCCTGGGCTGTGCTGGAGCAGCAAGATGCTATTTCAGTGGGGAGCAAAGTGACAATTACAGGCAGGGCTGCAGGTCCACCATGTCATTTCAGGCCATAGCCAGGAATGTGGCACTGGGAGATGCAGCAAAAGAGCTGACCTCTAGTTTTAGGGCATGTTTTTCCTTCTGGAGGAAAACTGTGAAGGCCAGACCCTCTGCTGAGACTTCAAAGGGTCTTGAGAAGCAGCATGGGCAGACACCACAGTGTCTGGAAACCCACAGCACTTTAGTTCTAGCTCTGATCCCTGCTGCTGTGAGCAGACAGGTAGGTGACCATCTGCTACCTTTCCCAAAAGATGGATCTTGTACCATGCTGCTCCCAGGGCAAACTGCAAAGGTGGCTGCTTAGCACAGTGGCTTATCAAAGCCAGCCATGATCAGTGGTGTAATCACTGCCCAAGGGAAGGTTGCTCCTGAACTTGCCCAGGCCAGACACATAGATAGGCAAATGGCAGTAGAACTGCTCCAGGTGATCTGTGTCTGCCTCTGGAAACTCAGATTTTCCAAGCAGCTGAATGCAGAGTGATTTAATATCTGCAGGGTACATTGAAGGCTCAGAAAATTTGTGTTCAGTCCCCTTTCTCCTACCACAGAACTCCTGGGTGGCCTCAACGAGTGCCCAAATCCCATGACCTCTGAGACAGTGCAATGATACCCCTTCCTTCTCCAGCTACACACGCCAGCATCACAAATCACAGACTGTTTCCTTACTGGTGTGGGAGGGAAGGAATATTTTTCCCTAGACAAGCTTTAACATTTTAAAGGTGTCCTCTGATAAAGATACCTCTCTAAAACCTGCAGTTTGAAGACTATTTAGATGAAAGAGGGAAAAAGAAAAAACATCCAAAAATCCTGCTCAAATTCAATATGTACGAACCATTAACTTATCTGTTCTCTCTGTTCCTTGTAAAAGTGAATGTCACCTGCCACTTGGGCTAAGAAGATTGCAGTGGCCACACCAGGAGCTCTTCACATCAGTCCTACCTCCAGACTCCTGCCCCTTTGTGCTGACTTTCAGAAGGAGCTGGCATTTGCCTCACTGATGAGCCCTTTGGACTTGCTGTGTCTCACAGGTAAATGAGATCCATTAAATGATGGTGCCTTCATCACCCAGTGCAGGGAATTCCATAACTGGGCCACAGGAAGGTATCTCAAAAGCAGTGTCTGTTCTGCTTAAATCCATACCACTGAAATTGCAAGTAGATACAAGGAGCAGGGAAATACATTTTTGCGCAGAAATTGCATATTTTAAAGTTTGGAGGGGTGACTTTTGGAGCTGCTGGACTTTGGAAAGCATTTCACTGCTGGAGCACGCTTGAGCACAGCTGTTGTGGGGAAGAAGCTCTGCAGGGCACGAGGTCCTGTCGGCTCAGCCACAAAAGTGTGGTCCCCAAGCCCATTACAGGCATGGAATTGCAGCAGAAAAGAGGGATAGAGGGAGGTGCATAATCACTGGAAAATCAGTATCACACCAGTGGGCACTTGGGCCCCCTCCATCCACTAAACCTGAACCTGCAAGCACCTCTCCATCCAGTTACAGAGGCAGGATCAGGGCTCTACACCCAGCTGCAGCAGTGGCTAAGGTCCACATGTGTCTCACTGACACATCCAGCATTTCCAAATAAGTCAGAAGTTTTACTTGGAATAGGGAAGTTGTTGAAAACAGAAAGAGCGAAGTGCCAGGTCCTGCAGGGAGTGACTGAGTGGGCAGGGTCATGGCCTTGATAGGGAAAAGTCTGAAATAAAAGAACCACCTCTAAAAATAAATTGTCTGAAATTTTCCCTGTGTTTGAGCATGGTGAATCAGTGCAAGCTTTGCTTTATCCACCCAAATGAGAACTTATATAAAAAGATGCTTCTGTTGCTGCTCAGCTGCTGGGAGCTGTGTGATCCTATTATAGAGCATTACAGCATCACCCAGAGGGCCCTGTCTGGAGGTCACACTGGGGCTGCATGTGCAGAGGACATCCTGCCTTCAGAGGCATTTGAAGTTAGCCCAAGTTTGGCTGCAGGTAGTTTAAAGAACAAATCAAACCAAATAAACAAAAAACCCCACCACAAAGAATTAAAACCAAAACAACTGTGGAAGTGGAACAATCCCAACTGTTGCAGGACCAGCACATCAGCAGCAGGCTGCACTGATGAGTCCTTGTTGCATCCCTTGGCACTGGAAACTCCGGGGTAGGATCAGCCTCTGACTAGGTGTGCCTTCATAAAATGTGTGTCACTAATACTCTCACTCCATGCAATTATCAGCAACCTCTTTCATGGTGAACTTCAAAGAGGAAGAACATTTTTAGACAATTATGTTCTCTGCTGTGTTACAAATTCAAAAGCTGGGAAAACTAAATTGGAAATGAATATTTTATCTAGGTTTAATTTCTCGGCTTTTACTCTGCAGAGCTCTCACATCCCTGGGAGATGAAGGTGCCCTACCCGTGCAGATGGTGAGGGCTGAGCCCTGCGAACTCACCTCGCAAGGCTGTGACAACACCGACCCTCTGGGCCAGAGCAGAGCAACACAGCAAACAAGAAATACACTTTCAAGGTCTCAAAGATACAAAAAGTGACTTGCTTTGTGGCCAAAGAAAGCATGAAGGCTTCTTTGAATATTTCAAGCACTGGAGCTTCAGGCCTTAGAAGGCAACGTTTTTATCCCAAAATAAAGACCTCCAAAGTGCTACTTCCAGGAATAACCTCACAGTGTTGGCAAGGACCGCTATTTCCAAGGGAATGTTATGAAAATGGCCCTTCCACAACCAGCAGCTGCTTCAGCCCTCAGAGCTGCCAGAGCAAGGCTCTAACCTTGTGTGCCTTCATCATCCCAAGAGACACGATGAAACCATTAATCTTCAGCTCCCTACCTTTGTCTTGTTTCTCTTGGTCACCCTGCTGTTTATGGACTGTCACTTTGTTCATATAAATATACTCCTCATCACCACCTGCAAACAAAGGGAAAAGTGAACTCTTTACCCACATGCTGCTTTCACACCACTAAGTTTTTCCACAAAGGCAGATGTAAAAAAGTGTCAAAGTGTCTCTGCTGAGAACATTTGGAGAGAGCAACGTTGGTTGAGGCAATGTGCAGGAAAAACCCCAAGCAATAATAAAAAGCAGAAAAATTAAGTGCTTTATGGTCAGGAAATTCCTTAAGTTAAAATTTCTACTTAAACATTAACTTGGCCAAACAGTACATCCTGTGTATCTTACAAAGTGGATTAAATAAACTTAAGGTTTAATAAGGAAAACAGAAAGGATCAGGAATCTTGGGAATTCTTTGCTTGTAAAGCTGGACACATAACTATAGTAATTTTACATAAACAATTAGAGGTCACTGCAAAAATAAACTCAGTTTCATTTTCTCCTTCTAATTTTCATGTCTCCTCTTCCCACCAGCTGCCAGGAAAATGTTGCTTCAAGACCCCGTAGCAGTTCCCATGGCAGCCCAGCACCCCATCCTTGGTTTTCCTCATCTGTACCACTGGACTTGGTGTAGACTTTCAGAAGGTCAGAGAGGAAGCTCTTCTTCACCACAGCAGTGCTGCTCAAGTTCTCCTTGTCCAGTATCCTCAGAAAATCTTCAAGTTCTGTGAGCAGCTGCTCGAGAGCTACAACAGAAACAGACACAAATGTTGGCAAAGCAGCTGGGTGGTGTGTCAAAGGATATATGTTAATCCCATGCTTTCCAAAATCCTTTGCTTTTACTGTCCAGGAATAGTTCATATTTAATTTTCCAGCTTGAACCCTGCCTCTAGCTTTGGAAAGAAAGTGAGTCTCAAACCAAAAAATCTCCAGCTTCCCTTAGTCTATTCACACATCAGTGAAACCCCATGTAAATACTTATTCCATTAGGTCTTCCTGCTCAAGTAAAGACAGCCTGAAGAGATTTTGAGTATTAGAGCTGAGGTTACAAGAAAGCAGCTTGCAAGATTTTGGTACACACACCTTGAGTCCTGGCAAATATCATTCAAATCTCATTTGGCTTGGGACCTACCAAAAATCCCACTTTTTGCTTCCTCTTCCTAAGCCTCCTCTTTATTTGGGAGAGATAGGGCCCTGGAAATCTGATGTCCTTGCCTATGGAACTAGATGATCTCTAAGGTCCCCTCCAGCACAAACCACTCAATAAACTTATGTTTCATTCTACTATTATTTCTCTGCCTCTATTCATTTGAGAATGTTTATGTGTGTATTCCAAAAAAAAGGAAAAAAAATCCCTACCTCCTCATATACCTCAATCACAACTCAGTAACTTCTCAAACCACCTTGCTTGGGCAGTGACCACAGAGAGCACTGTACCATGTGAAACTGAAGACACAGGACTCAGCAGCATCTCTCAGTGCCTCAGGAAGCCCTGTTGTAGCCAAGACATTCCTGCATCCCCAAAGCAAGCAGCTGGGACACGCTGCTCCCCAGCACCACTGGCTCAGCTGGACTAGTGGGTTTGTTTTCTTCCTGAGAAGGTGCTGCACAGCCCTGCCACCAACAAATCACTGCTCTGACAGGGCTCACGCTGAAACAACAGATTCTTAATTGCTTGCTTTTGTTCACACCAGAGTTTATCATGGGCTAATTAGCAGCAGGGGCGGGAGGAGGAAATAACAGAGGATTATGTAGAGTGAGGAAGCGCTGAGCAAGAACAACAGTGTGGGGAAAACGTACCCAACCCAGCTGGGACTGTTCCTCCCCTTTGGAGCTCCCCTGCTACCCCTCTCCATCGCTCCCTGGTGCTGAGGATCTGCAGAGGAGATGGGCAGTGAAGCCTGGGTTTGCCACCACCACCCTGCAAGCCTGGCTGTGACTCCTTAGCACTCCACCAGGGAACTTAGAGATAACTTGAGTGGGGCAATGCTCCTTTCCCTTTACTTACAACATTCCCACACTGGGTGATCCCGTGGAACCTCTGTGAGTCACAGTTCACACCCATGAACTAGAAAAGTGTTAACATTTTGGATTCATAAGACAAAGCATCTGAGCAGTTCTAGTTAAAGAGCTACCACATTTAAGGTCATAAAGAACACTTTTTTAAAGGCAGGAGAAAGCCATCACCTTCCTACTCACCTATATTTAGCCACCAGGCAGCCTTCCTGGGGTAAATACATGTTAGAAGATTGGTAAATGAATTACACTGTAAAAGTTTGTGTTGCTAGCCATTAATTGAAAAAAACTCACTGCTGCTATTCTCAAACTGAATTAATCCTCACCAGATTGACTGTAAATCAGCCTAATGACTCCAGATCAATCAATAACAGCTCCAGAGGAACCAACCAACTTGTAGTTATTCACACTTCATTCTGTACCCTCCACACCAAATTAATTCTCTTCTGGTCTGATTTAGGACCAGCAGGGAATGGAAAACACCTGCATCATGCTGCATAACTCAAATGTCTTTGCTAGCTTCCTTTTTGCCCAGAGAAAACAAGAATCACTTCAAGAAACAGCAGGGCTTTTTTTCCATAAGCTGTGAAGAAACAGGTAGTATTTGCTGATAATAATACTGGATGCCAATAAGCAATGAATAGTGTCAAACCTACTCACAACTGGCTTCTCTAAAGCTTCAGGGACCTGTTTCTTCCAAGTTTAAGGAAACCCCCCCCAGGGTAAATCACAACCTTGCTATACTCATCTGCTTCAGTGGCCCAGTTCAGAAAATTCAAACTGAGGTCAGGTCCTGTTGGTCAGGCCAGCTGCACAGGACATTCATGTGTCAGGGATGGTATCAGAAAAAACGGCACCAAGGACACCCAACCTTAATCTGAAGCTCCAGAAACAGATCAGCTCCCAACAGCTGCCCACGTGGATGTCACAACAGTGGGTCTGCAGGGAAGGGGGTACAATTCCCATTCCCTCCTCCACCCCCACACTGCAGAAAATTACTTTATTCTTCTCCCAGGCATCCACAGCTAGCATACACACAGGGCTGAGTGCTTATGAATAGCATAGCCCATACAGTAGGTTGCATTTTCCAGCCCACCAAAGCTGAACTTAGGCTTCCAGTGACTCAAAGCAGCTCATTTAGGATGTGATCCTGGGGTCAGTGGAAAGACTGTCAGACCTCAGTGGATTCAGACTTCAGGGACTCACGAGAGATTAATTTTGCTCTTCTTCTGCAAGAAGCAGTATATAAACCATCTGCTTCTATGCAAGTATCTCTCTGATCTCAGCTGGACATTCCCAATCCAAACCTTATACCTGCAAAAAAAAAACAACTCCACTGACAGTTCATTCTCTCCTATCAGAAGGAGAAGAAGCTAATACTTATCAGAGATTGATGAATGTGAGAACTCTTATACATTAAACCACCTCAGGATTCTGAGTGCTGGAAGTCACTGCTTGATCTCAGCTAAAGATCTATCACACTGCTGGTGATGTATGGAACACGCTCACGGTAAAACCAGGTTGGTGGCTTTTCAAAGCAGCCTAAAACAAATAGTTCTGCCCCCCAGCTGCATGGTTTTGCTCTCCTTATCTTAGCAGTTTAGAAATGAGAGCACATAAAGAGATGATTTCTGCTCTGCAAGGCAATAGTTACAGATGCAAGGAACATATCTGCAGAATTGTATGGCTGTGAGCAGCAGGATGAGAGATCAGAAGTAGACAGAAGCCTAAGTCATAAGGCAGAGCAATTCTCAGATGATTTTCTGAATTTTTTTTTCCACTGCTGTATTGCTCTTCTCCACTCATAGCATTTCTTTGTGACTCAAGTAATATTTCTGGCACCAACTGAAACAAAGAGCTTCAGAGATCTTGCAAAAATTCAGCTCCCTTCACAGAAGACAGGGAGTACCTCTAAGGTAATCAGGCAATACCATCTACAGGTTTAGATTGTCAGAAAAATTAAGAGGCTTGGCCCAGGTCACTGTGAATACCTGCCCTTAATCCAGTCCCCTCAAGCACCAGGATATGAACTACTGCAGTTCCCTACAAAGCCCTACAAAGGCCACAGACCTGGGCTACCTTTAGAAATTACAGCACAACTCATATCATGTTCTTCTCCATGGCAACAGACATCAGTAACTGGATGAAACCTGTAGGAATTTTGCAACACATGATGGAAAGAGGTATAGGAGCATCACAGTCAATGGGAAACTTGAGTGATTTGCATCTGCAGTGAGAGGATCATTGAAAGAACTCCTTAGCTTTGAAATATATAGAAATATTACATCTTTATTGATGTAATAAGGACTTTCAGGGTGAGAGTTATAGTCAGAATTACGAGTTCCTTCTTCCTTCATGCACTTAACTGGATGATGAGATATGTTCTTCCTTCTTTTACTCCAAGACAATGCAACCCATTTTACAAAACTCCTGGGCTGCCACTGACCACCACAGGCTCTCTCAGTCTGAAGGCTGCAACTCTGGCCGCAGCAATAAGCAAAGAGATGCTTTAAACACAAATGATTGCTGTTCCAACAGCAATTCAGTGGCAGCAGGACAGCACTGAAAAGGGCTTCTTTTGGCAGCAGTCTGTGCCTTTCTTTGCAGACTGAAAGTCTCTTGCATTGCAGTAGTGTCTATCCTAGTTCATGTGAAGCTAGAGCCAAAAATGAAACAGCTTGCAAAGCCCTCATTGAGGAAGCACATTCCTTGCAAAAGAGCTGCCAATTTTGCCTGACACTAAGGTCACTGAAAGGTAAATGACCATTAAACTAGATTATAAAAGCCATTCCTACCAATAACCACTGATCTCTGTCACTGTGTTACAATAACAACCTATGTCGACATCTAATTACTTCATGTCTCGGCCTTATGAGGAAATGGGAAGACCGGCTCAGAACGAGCTTTCATTCAAGTGTTTCAGTAACCACTGGGCAGGATTGTATTAGACCATTTAATCTAAATTCAATTACTTATTTTATCAAGGTAGAGGGGCCCCAGCCACCAGACAAAGAACTGTAATGAGATATATACTAAAAGACAAACTCTTTCCTCTGCTGAGATGAGAGGTGAAAGATAAGGAGTATCATTTGCTAACAGGAAACTAAGGCATTGGGAGATTAAGTGATTTGTCCAAGGATGTGGCTGTATTCTTCACCAGATCAGGAATATAAACTAGCTTTCCCACATCTCAGCCTGGAGATTTTGTTTCCAACCCCCCATCCATGGATCCCAAAGCAGAGTCTGGGTTTGGTATTTCTGGCTTCACCCTTCCTTCCTAGAAGGAGCTGGGCTAAGCTGCTGACAAATAACTCCATTCAGGAACCAAGTAAATACCTGCAGTCTGTGCCATGCCAAGCTGCTTGATTCAAAAATCTTGGAAACTTCAGAGATAATAGAACTGGTAACAGGATTGTGAATCATGAAAGGGCCAGCCACCAGGAGCAGGGGGCTTCCTGAGGAGTATCTTGAGGTACCTTCCCATGCCTAGCCTCCCCAGACTGCCTCCATCATGCACTAAATCCCATGGCAGCCTTTCAGCTCCCATTTCCCACTGACCAGCCCTGGCTGGCAGCACTGGGATTCCCCAGGGGCTGCTTTGGCAGAAAGGAATTCCTTTCTAGCCCTGCTTTCTTTTTTTGTTGGCTGCATAAAATGAATAGGGCAGCTGAGGAGCGTGCAGAGAGGACAGGCAGGCACAGAGGCAGCATTCAGGCTGCTGAATAGCAAGTGCTGTCAGAAGAGCAGGAGGACCCAGCCCAGGCCTCCTTGGCTAATTTGGAGTCTTACAGTAACAGTTGGGCTTTGCAAGAGGGAAAAGTCACCACGGTTACAGCTAGAGAAGGTCATTCTCCACAGCTGTGAGGAAAGGCAGATGTGTGGATGGTGACAGCTGTAACAGCTGGATGACCCCTACACCGGGCCACCTTCCAAAACAGCAAAGTAGATCCTTCCTCAGACAAACCAACCCTCCTCACCCCTGCTGGCTGCAGGGTCGTGCAGAGCAGCAGTGAAAATCAGAGAACCACAATGCTTCGGCTCCTCTGCAGTGCATGCAGCTCCTCCTGCTCCAGATGCTGCTGGCTTTGGCAATGCAGTGCAGGGAAGGAAAGGTGGTAGATGGCTCATCCAAACTCCACTGAGAAGCAGCAACATCTCTGCTGAATCCCAGA